AGATCCAAGCACAGGCAAAGCAGGAGATTCCTGCCTCAGCACCAGCAAAGAGATCCCCGCAGTCCCCCTCTGATCAGCCACTTGATTCCCCGTCAGTCTGTGGGCCAGAAGCTCAGGACACAGCCACTGCCCCAGCGCCCACGCTCTGTGCTCTGCACTCTGGAACTGGCTCTGACCTAGCTCTTCTCTCACCACAAAAACAGACTTTTCCCACTGACCTTCTAAGTTGTCTTTGGCGTTTATGGATTGAGGAGTCTGGAAACTGCCACAGCTGCCTGAGATTCATTCCTCTGAGGCCTGCTCCAGGTTCACTGCGCATGCACACCCACGCCAAACTGCACTCCTCTATCCGCACCGTGCGATATGCCTTTCAGATCAACCATCCAGGCTGTCTTGGGCTGGAAATTTGTCTTATTCTGTCTTTTTGTGGGTTCTGCTGCTCTAGAATTTGCCAGAGCCATTTTTTTACAGGTATTTGGAGGGGTTTGGTGGAGAGCTCAAGCAAGTCACTGCTTTCACTCCGCCATCTTGGCTCTGCCCTCCCCCCCCCCATTCTCAAGGACAGCTCTAAGATCCTCTTTCTGATGCCAAAGGTCTGAAGGGGAAGAAGATGGGGAAAGAAACTAAATCACATTCCCTATAGAAATGATGCTCCAAATACAGGAGTTCGGGAGTCCTGGAATGCCTTTATCAAAAGCCTCAGGGGAGGTCGCTGCTTCCAGGAGCCAAGATGGCGGAGTAAAAAGGTAGTTACTCTCACCCTCCCCTATCAACCTCTGAAAACCCAGAAAGTATCACCCCAGAAAAAAAACCCTAGAACAGCTGAACTAGAAGAAAGATGGGGAACAGCAGTGTAGTAGCTAGCAAATGGGTCTCCCAGTGCCTCAGCAAAAATAATACAAAGGGCCCCAGGTGGATAAGCACCCTGTTTATCTGAAAGGAGCCAAAGAACGCAACCTAGTTTTCATAAAGCCCCAGCCTTGCTGATTCGAACCCAACACCAGGTAAGCTGTCAGAACCCCAAGGACAAGATCCTGAAGCCCAGGTGGTAGAGCAGGCAAACACCAACACCTGGACCTCTGAGTGCCTCAGTAAGGGTGGGGAACCAGTGGAAACCAGCTCAGAAAACCACCTCAGCACTTTACCCCAAAGGAATCTCTCAGTGCATTAGCAGAAATGAGGGAGGCAGCATTATAAGAGGCCCCAGGCAGATAAACACCCTGCAGCACCCATCTAAAAGAAGCTGAAGAAAGCTAAAGGAAAGGAAAAGCAGGCAACCTAGAACTGCCTGAAAGTTCCACCCCTTGCTGATTCCAGTCCAACACCAGGTAAGCTGCCAGAACCCTACAGCTTCCAATTGCCAACATAAGAGGCTCCAGCACACAAAACCACTGACCAAGACCTAGGCTCCCAACACAAGAATTGTGCATCAGTGCCCTCTCTTCCCCAGCAGGAGAGCTCAATCTCTTTAAAGGGCAGGGATTAAAGAAACACCATGAGTAAAAAGAAACATACCATAGATTCATCTTATGAGAAGACAGAAATTCTAAAGAGGACAACATTGTAAACAAACCCACATCTGCAACATCAAAAGGGAATATGAACCGGTCTGAAGCCCAAAAAGCCTTCTTAGAAGAGCTCAAGAAGGATTTTAAAAGTCTAATGAGAGAGGTAGAAAAGTCCTTAAAAAATACAATTGGCCAATTGGAAAAAAAGTACACTGAAGAAAACAAATCCCTTAAAAATACAATTGGCCAGGGGCAGTTAGGTGGTGCAGTGGATAGAGTGCCAGCCCTGACATCAGGAGGACCTGAGTTCAAATCCGGCCTCAGACCAAACACTTGACACTTACTAGCTGTGTGACCCTGGGCAAGTCACTTAACCCCAGTTGCCTAAAAGTTAAAAAAAAATACAATTGGCCAATTGGAGAAGGAAGTACAAAAACTAACAGAAGAAAACAATCTGTTAAAAACTAGAATTGGACAAATGGAAACTAATGACTCTATGAGAGAGCAAGAAGGAGTCAAACAGAAACAAAAAAATGAAAAAACATAGATGGTTGGTAAAACAACCAACCTGGAAAATTGATCCAGGAGAGACAATTTAAAAATTATTGGACTACCTGAAAATCATGATGTAATAAAGAGCCTGGACAGTATCTTTTTAGGAAATCATAAAGGAAAACTGCCCTGAAGTCCTAGAACCAGAAGGTAAAATAACCATAGAAAGAATACACTGCTCACCACCTGAAAGAGATCCCAAATTGACAATGCCAAGGAATATAACAGCAAAATTCCAAAATTACCAGATGAAAGAGAAGGTGCTGCAAGCAGCCAGAAAGAAACAATTTAAATATCATGGAACTACAGTCAGGATTACACAGGACCTTGCAGCTTCTACATTAAAAGACTGCAGGGCATGGAACGTGATATTCTGTAAGGCAGAGGAGCTTGGATTGCAGCCAAGGATCAACTACCCTGCAAAAATGAGCATGATTTTTCAAGGGAGGAGATGGATATTCAACAAAATAGGAGACTTCCAAACCTTCGTGATAAAAATACCAGAGCTCAACAAAAAATTTGATCTTCAAGTACAAGATTCAAGAAAGACATAAAAAGGAAAATGAGACAGAAAGATACAATATGTTGTTAATAAGGGTAGACTGTTTACATGCCTACAAGGGAAGATGACACTTGCAACTCTTGAGAACTGTATTGTTATTACACCATGTTAAAGAAGTATACCTAAAGGGGGTGGATAATAGTTGACTTTGATGTAATGATAAAAAAAAATCTAATCAAGTGGGTTAAATGGATCCAAGTAAGTGGATTAGTCTAATTTTAGAAAATGTACTGAGCCATTCCCCAATTGATAAATGGTCAAAGGATATGAACAGACAGTTCTCAGATGAAGAAATTAAAGCCATCTATAGTCATATGAAAAAATGCTCTAAATTGTTATTGATTAGAGAAATGCAAATCAAAACAACTCTGAGGTACCACGTCTCACCTACTAGATTGGCCAACATGACAAAACAGGAAAATTATAAATGTTGGGGAAGATGTGGGAAAATTGGAACGCTTATACATTGTTGGTGGAGCTGTGAAATGATCCAACCATTTTGGAGAACAATTTGGAACTATGCCCAAAGGGCTACAAAAATGTGCATACCCTTTGATCCAGCAATAGCACTTCTAGGGCTATATCCCAAAGAGATCAAACAAACGGGAAAAGGACCCACATGTATAAAAATATTCATAGCAGCTCTTTTTGTGGTGGCAAAGAATTGGAAATTGAGAGGATGCCCATCCATTGGGGAATGGCTGAGCAAGTTGTGGTATATGAATGTAATGGAATACTATTGTGCTATAAGAAATGATGAACAGGCTGACTTCAGAAAAACCTGGAAAGACTTATATGGTCTGATGCTGAGTGAAGTGAACAGAACCAAGAGGACTCTGTCTACAATAACAGCCACGTTATGCAATGACTAATATTGTTAAACTGAACCCTTCTCAGCATTACAAGGATCTAAGACATCTCCAGAGGCCTCGGGATGGAAAATGCTGTGCACATCCACAGAAAGAACTATGGAAGTCGAATCGCTGTCATTTATTTTTACCTTCTGTTGAGTTTTGTTTCATCTTTCTGATGGTTCCTCCTATTGGTTTTAATTTTTGCTTACAACTGCATTAATGTGAAAATATGTTTAATGGGTATGTAAATGTAAAGCCTATATCAGATTGTGCACAGTCTTGGGGGGGGAGAAAGGGGGAGAAAAATTTTCAACTCAAAAGCATATAGAAGTGATTGTTGATAAATCAAAATAAATTAATAAAATTTTTTAAAAAAGAAAACATGCTGAAAAAGGAGGAGGTAGACAAGAGTAAATTACATTACAGGAAAAGACACAAAATCCTATTACATCAAAGGGAAAGAAGGGAGGGGGGCGGCCATTGTTTGAACCTTACTGTCATCAGGTTTGGCTCAAGAAGGGAATAACATGATCAGTTAGGTATAGAAATCTAACTTGCCCTGTGGCCACTGGGAGGGAAAAGGGGGAGGGAAGAGAAGGGGGGATGGAAGGGAAGGAAGAAGCAGTAAGGCTAAAGGGTGAGAAAAAGGGAAAGGGAGGGAGGGACTGAGGGAGGTGGTGAAAAGCAAAACACTAGTGAGTAATTTTTACTTACAACTTCACTAATGTGAAAATATGTTTAATAGGAATGTAAATGTATAGCTTATATCAGATTGTGTGCCATCCTGGGGAGGGTGGGGGGGAGGAAGGGGGAGAAAAATTTTCAACTCAAAAGCATATGGAAGTGATTGTTGATAAATCAAAATAAATTAATAAAATGGGGGAAAAAATTTCTCTACCTCAGTTTTGCCTCTTTAACCAGAGCAAACAAATCAGACCTGAACAAAGATTTTCTTTCAACAGAGGAATGATAAGCCTTATGCCATGGCCAGCACTATCACAACAAGTTCTATGTCCTCGTCAAAGAAAGATGAGTGTGATTAAAATGTCTGAATCCTCCAAATTACCAGGAAGAGCCTAGGTAAGAGGTAAGGACAGGATCTGAACTCACATCCTTTGAATCCAAATCTAGTGTTTAGTATTCTTGTAGTGTATGGCAACCCCTAATTCACTCTGCCTCCAAGACTCTGAGATTAGGAGTCTGTCTCTGCTTGATGAACTCATTTAGCACCAGGAGGGCTCCTTAAAGTTATCCCAGGGCTGTGCAAAATCTAAGAGTAATGCAAAGCATTCCATAATAGCCCTTTTTTTCATCAAGTCTTGAATAAATCAAATTGCACTTAGGCATGCATAGAAAACAAAAGGAGTCTCCTCTATGCGGACAGTTCTAGCCACTGATTAGTCTTTTCTCTACCAAGACAAAATTGAAGCCATTCAGAGAGGAAGTGTTTCTAATCTACCTGGCTCCCTCTCTGCCCCAGGATATGCCATAGATTGATCCAGTGGTTGGTGGAGATGAGCTTACCATGAGGTACGTAGCCCCAGCAGGCTGGAGAGGCTGGAGTCCAGGAATAGCAGCTAAGACCCCACAACACAGGGCAGATTTGACTGTAAGTGGCAAGAAAGAGGCCAAAGATCACCGTTTCAGCAAAAGGAAAATCAAGCCATTCCAATGAGCACCATTTGGAGGGCCTAGATCCTACATTTGCTTGCTTATGAAAGGAGTCAACAGGGCAAAGATCATGTCCATTCCACCCTTGGCTGGAATGAAAGGGATTGCCAAAGCCCAGAAAATTATTCACATTTCTGTGTCCGTCCTGACCAAGCTGGATGAGGGAAAGGTAGGCGATCATACCCCAGACTCTCAGCCATTGTAATGACCCTCCCAGGATTAATTGTATTGACTGCTGGCAGGACTGCAGATGAGATGAGGCCATTCCCAGGGTTCTCTATGAGCTTTTCCTTGTGGATATCTCCCTTTCTCCAAAGAACATCGGGGCCTCCCTTACCTTGAGAAAGCTTAGGATATTGTGGTAGAATTCTTGAGGCGTTCTCATGATGCTTTTCAGTGCTCCCTGGACAATGGTACAGGGTCCCAGGATCTTCTGAGTCAGCTTCACCAGCCCATCTCGGATCTTAAACATTCCAGGAAGTACAGTCAGTACCTCCCAAATCACCCCTATCTACGTAGCTCATGTGTTATGGAGGCCTTGCCTTTCCATTTTAAGGAAAGTACCCAGGACAGTCAAATCTTCATTCCTCTCCAGGGTCCATTCCTGACTCTCTAGAATTTACCACTATGCCCCTGCTCAGGTACCTCTGCCTTCCTCCCCCTTCCCCTATCTGCTTCCTTTTTTCTGTTGTCTTCCCCCATTAGAATGTAAGCTCCTTGAGGGCAAGGACTGTTTTTCTGCTTGTGCTTGGATTTCCAGCACTTAGCACAGTGACTGAAATATAGTAAGCACTTAATAGATGTTTTTTGACTTGACTTGATCCAAAAGTGGGAGTGCAATAAGATCTCTTCACTAACCCAAGCAAAGGGAAATTAAGTTTGGGGTAGGAAATGGAGATGACTGTTGCTTCTCTTTATTCAGTATCTTCCTCACGCCTTAAGCCTGAGGTCACAGGGTCATAGGATCATAGATTACGAGTTAGTAAGTCACTTTTACAGAGGAAACTGAGGCCCAAAGAGGTTAACTAAGGTCACAGAGATTATAAGTGGTGAGATGGGGAATCCAACCAGGACCTCTGACTCCAAATCCAGCACACTGTCCATTGTACGCATTCTTGTTACCAATGCTAAAAAAAACCAGTTCAAAAAAACCCAATTCTATCTCCCCATAGTTGTATGTGCAAGACAAAGAGATACATATATGTATTTGTGTGTTGGAAGAAGGGATGTAATTTCCACTGAAGAAGAGATTCTTCTGCCCTTACCTCATTACCAAAGATGTCTCTTCTGTCATGGATCAGAACCCAGCCCAGTCTCCAGCCTGGAACTAAGCAACACTTAGCCAGCCCCCCACAGGATAAGATGCTTGCTCCTGGAAGGAAAGTGATGTCAAATCTGGACAGCATTTTAAAAAGCAGAGACATCACCTTGAGGACAAAGATCTATATAGTCAAAGCTATGGTTTTTCTAGTAGCAATGTCTGATTGACAGAGCTGGAGTATAAGGAAAGCTAAGTGCTGCAAAATCAACATTTTCAAATTATGGTCCTGAAAAGACTTTTGAATAGCAAGGAGAACAAATCAGTCAATACTTAGACATTGGTTCAGACTATTCACTGGAAGGTCAAATGCTAAAGGTGAAGCTTAAATGCTTTAGCTATATGATGAGAAGACAGGACTTATTAGAAAAGACCCTGATGTTGGGAAAGATTGAAGGCAACAGGAGCAAAGGGCACCAGAGACTGAGATGGATAGATAGCATCATGGAAAGAGTGAATATGTACTTGGACAGACTCTGAGAAACAGTGGAGGATGGAAGGGCTGGGCATGCTATGGTCCATGGGGTCATGATGAACAGCATTTGACTGAACAACAAGAAAACAGAAATGCTTATTCCCTTCCTCCCTCTTGACTTCCCCAACTTCCTTCAGGTCCCAGCTAAAATCTCACTTTCTACAAGCTTTTCCCATCTCTCTCAATTCTAGTGTTTTCCTTCTGTTCATCTGTACGTGTGAGCTACTTGAGGGAAAAGAACTTTTTTGCTTTAATTTGTATACCCAGCACCTAGCACAGTACTAGACACATAATAAGTCCTTAATAAATATTTACTGAATGACTGAGTGAGTAAAAGATAACACCTAAATTGTCAATAGGAAAGTGAGGAAGAGGGGGGAAAGATAAGTTCAGTTTTGGACATAGTGAATGGATTTAATTGGAAAGGTCACGGCAACTATACTAAATAGTTTTTTAAGTTGTTTGAACAGGCTCTGCATATAATAGCTACAGCTAAAATACAGGATGTCCCAAAAGTCTTAGTGAAGTTTTAAGCTTTAATAACTGGAAACTATTTAAGCAGTACATAGAGGACTGGTGCTGGAGTCAGGAGGGACCTGAGCTCAAATGTGGCCTCAGACAATTACTAGCTGTGTGACCTTACGGAAGTCTCTTAACCCCGTTGGCCTCAGTTTCCTCATCTTTAAAATGAGCTGGAGAAGGAAATGACAAACCCTTCCAGTATCTCTGCCAAGAAAACTCCCAAAGGGGTCAGACTTGACTGCAAAATGAAGGAAATCGGTACTTCGTTACAGTATATGCTCTTCAAGGAATGAATTTAATTGTATCATTATTTTTACATCTTTGTATGCTGAGCACTTAGTACAGGGGCCCTGCACTTAGTAGGTGCTTAACCGAGGTTGAACTGTATTCGGTCGGAATTCTGATGGCAAGGGGTGGGTACCACCTCTGCATGTGCGCGAGCAGGGGCTCAGCTTGATCTAGACTGAGGCTACCTCCTCAGCCAGCTCCGCCGCCGCTCTCCACCACCCCAGTGCTGAAGGAACCCACAGTGCGCCCGCGCTCACCCAGCAGCGGCTCTAAATTTAAACCTTCTCTCATTCCCCCGCCCCTTTCAGAGGGAGACGCCTCCGCGCACCCACGAGCTCGAGCACGAGCGCTCGCTCACTCTACTGGGCTGCTTACCCCGCCCCACCATGCTTGCATTGCGCTAACCTTAGATGGGGGGGGGGAAAAGCACCTTGTGCGCATGCGCTTCGAGCGGGGTGGGGGGGGGATGAGGCAACGGTAGGAATATCCCCGCCCTGAAGGAAACCAACTAGTGGTTCCTCGCCCTCCTGGCTTAGAAGAGGGACTGGAAGGGATAAAAAGAAATCATTCTTAGAGACTCAGCTCTCGACTTCCTCAAGAAAAACGAAGTTCACAGTGCGCAGCCTCCGTCGGAGCCCCGTTTTCTTCCGGATAAATACGGGTTTGACCCGGAAATCCCTATCGGAGCCCTAGTCCCTTTTAGGTCGGGCCCTGGGGTGAAGATGGCGGCGGTGGAGGCAGCGGTGGTGACCGAGGACGGCACCGAACCGAAACTGAGCAAAAAGTAAGCGTTTCTCTGACAAGGCTGGTGTCAGGAAAGGCCGTGGAGTCTGGGGCGGGAAACCATTCGGGCCTCCCTGTGGAGAGGAAGCTGTGCCTAGAGCTGTTCTGGCGGCTCTCGTGGGCACTAACGTGCTGCGGCTAAGCCGCCTTCACCGCCGGAAACTACAAGCCCCAGCATGCACTGGGGCCCGCTAGAGCCCGGAGGTTTCGGTTTCGGGTCGGGGGAGCTCGTCTGAGAGGTCTTACGTTCCCCACCGCAGTCGCGCGTCCTCGTCCCGGGCTCAGTCCGGGTTAAAGGGGAGAGAAAGGGGATAAAATGAAGGGCTTGGGGAGAGACTTTCCTTTAGTCTCTTTCCCGGGGTCTATGGAGAGGATAGCAAAGAGATTTTATGCTCCGCCCTTGCCCTCCCCGCCCCTTTCCCCGTCCCTACCCCCCCCCCGGTACCCCGGAAAGGAAGGGTTTTCCTGGAAATGGAGATGAACAAGACTTTGCAAAGTGCATTATATGTTATTCCTTTTTATCCTCCCAACAACCTTGTGAGGTTGATGCCAATATTATCTTAGTTTTGCAAGTGAGGAAACTGAGGTAGGGTCAACAGTTGGGAATTGTCTGAAGCAGGATTTGAACTCAGTTTTTCCCAAGTACACTTAAGATATCTCTTTTATGTACCCAGTTATTTACATGTTGCCCCCGTTAGGCTATAAGCTTCTTGAGGACAGGGACTGTTTAACTTAGTGTCTATCCCTCAGTCAGCTCTTAATACCTGCCTGTTGGTTGAACTGACTGTCATTCAAGGACTCCCCGTATAAAAATCTTGAATTTATTCCTCAAGGATTTTCTGAAAACAAGCTGAATCCTAGGTTGTTCCAGACAGCTTTCCAAAAATTACCTAATTGTGTTTAACTAGTTGGGGGGAGGGGGGAGTGGGGAGTGTTGCTCACATTTGATGCATAAACATAAAGTTTATATTCACTTCTTAGTTACTTAGTATTTTCAGTTTTCTGTTGTTTGCGCCTAGAATACAAAGCCCCACAGTGAATGTTAAATTGGAGAGAATATAGGTCTTACCCTGCAATTGGCTGTCTACCCATAAGTGTGTCTGTTGAGCTCATATACAGAGCTTTGGCTAATTTTTTTTCCAAGCAACAGGTGTTCTCTCATGCCAAGCACCCAGATTTTTCTCTAAAGAGCTTCTTTCTCAGGTATACTAGCAATTTGAGTATGAATAGTCAGTCAGTAAGCATTTATTAAGTACATATTATGTGCCAGGTATTGTGCTAAGCTAGGGATTCAAAGAAAGGCAAGAGACAATTGACATGTTGAGCATTAAGAAGACATCAAGTTCAAGATGTCAGATAGGCAGCTGAAGATGTGAGACTGGAGGTTAAGAGAAGTTAGGGCTGGATAATTAGATTTTTGAGAATCATTAGCATAGCGATAATTTAATCCTTGGGAGCTGGTAAGATCACCAAGTGAAGTCGTATGGAGGGAGCATTTGGTACATTTATAACCTGACCCCTTCCTGTCTTTCCAGTCTTCTTGAATATCTGCTCTCCTCCATGTACTTTAAAGGTCCAAATCAAAGACCCGTGGGACCCTATCTTTAGTGGGTATAACCTAAATGGAGATGTAGCACAGGAGACTGAGGAGTGATCAAAGAGAACCGGGAGAGAGTGGTGTTCCAAAAACCTAGAGAGAAGAGAGTATCAAGGAGGTCAGAGGGTGATCAGCAGTGTTAGAGGCTGCAAAGAGGTCAAAAAGAATGAGATTGAGTAAAGGCCACTGGATTTGGTAAACAATGGATCATTGGTAACTTTAGAGAGAGCATTTTCAGTTGAATGATGACATTAGACTATAGAGAATGAAAAGAGAGGAAGTGGAGTCACCTTATTTGTGTATCTGCTTCTCAAGGAATGTAGCCACAAAGGGCAGAAGAGATAAAGGATGATGGTTATTCAGGATAGGCAGATCAAGTGAGAATTTTTTGAAGATGAGGGATAGATGGGCATGTTTGTAGGTAGTAGGAAGGCATCCAGTAGACAAGGAGATAGTGAAGATAAGTGAGGGTGAGAATGATAGAGGGGGCATTGTATTGGAGGAGACACAGTGGAATGGGATCACTTGTGCATGTAGAGGGATTAGCCTTGGCAAGGAGCAGGGCCTTCTTGGTGTGAGACAGGGGTGAAGGAGGAGATAGTGACAGAAGGCATCTGAGTGATGTGGGATGAGGAAGAGGGAGCTCTCTGAATGGCCTCAAATTTTTCAGTAAAATATGAGGCACGGTTCTCCGCTCAGAAAGTAAAGGGAGTAGAAGCCACTGAAGGTTTCAAAAGAGATGAAAATATTTGGAAGAGCCCCAGTGGAGAGTGAGAGAATGAGTTAGAGAAGTGTGTAAAAGAACTGCTCTACCATACAATCCATATCTTCCACCCAATTAAAATTCAGTTAGGGTCACATAATACAAATTTGTAGTGGACCCAGTCAACATGGTTTCCTGATTTTTCTCCACTTTTGTTCAGCAGATAGTGGGAGGACTCCATGTCTAAGGCTTTGCCAGGGAACAATCAGTAACATGAGGGGACTTGAAGATAGTGTAGACTTGAGCTGGTTCACCAAGGGGACAGGAAGGGGAAAGGAGGAGGGTATGGATAGTGCAGGGGTGATGGCCTGGGAGAGAGCCGAGGGGGCCAGGTACTCGGAGTCTCTCCCCCTTGCCTCTTAGGTTCCATTGATGTCTTTGAGACTCTTCTTTCATTGTTCCTCCTGCAGGAGAAGATGCCTTGGCCCACTGCCTTCCATATCCTTTCTGTTGGTCAGTCTTATGTGGACCTGGTTACCTCCATCTCGTCTCCTCCGTTAGAATATGCCCTCCTTGGAGGCGGGGGCTAGTTCTGCTTTTCTTTGTATCCCCAGCAC